ATATATATATATATACATGTATATATATATATATACATGTATATATACATGTATATACATGTATATATATATGTGTATATATACATGTATATACATGTATACCCTCAATTTAAACATTTCTATCTAGCAGGTCTTCGGTTCTTGAGCTTGCGGTGGGAGCCCTTGTTCGTCCACAAGGGTCCTTTGGTGCTCGGCGGGATTCGGCCCGCGGAGTTATCTTCATGTAAAGTCCTCAGCACCTTTATCAGCCTGATTAAACATTCTAAATGACGTGTGTGTGCATTGGGACAAAAACTAAATCAGTTTGACGCGTCTTCTGTTCTTCACGGTCAGGGCTGGTGATCTTCGTCCTTATCCGATCCACCCGAATCGACTGACTTAGGCAGAGCGGAGACTCCTTCTCCGATGTTTGCTACTGCCTTTTCCCAACCAGAACAAAGGGGCAAAGAATGAGCTCCCACGAAGGTCCTGTCACCTCCTCCAGGTGTAGTGGGGAGCTGTCTTCAGATCATCCTCCATGTGGTCCAGCGATCGATTCCTCTCCTCTGCAGGGGTGCACTGGTGGGGTCTTAACAGATGTCACTGTCCTTCTGGAGACCGATGGCGTGTGATGTTCCCCCATCACCTGGTGGGTTCTTGTCCTGTCCCTCTTTTCAGCAGGACCCAGTCTGATGTGAGTTTGTCTCCTCGGTCAGAGTTCCTCCCTCCTGATGAGAAAAGCTGGACACCAAAGCTTGCGAATTGTTAAACACCCTGTCTGGCCTTTTGATTATTTTATCTGTGGGATCCATGACCCAATTGTGGGCCTGGAAAAACTGACTGTGGTTACTTCTTTAGTGAATAAAACCTGTTTCTTAATTATTGGACACCCTGATGGTTATTATTGTTACTGATAGGTGTAGTATTACACTGTAATGTTATCCTAAAACAGAATTAGTAAAACTAAAATAAAATGCTATTCTTACCTGCCTCTGTACACTTGAAACTGAATTGTGTTACCTACTGGACTTCTCCAGGTATACCTGTGTGCTCTCGTCCCATCTGTCACCCTTCCAAGCCTTTGCCGTCAACCGGTCTACCTACAATTAAAATAAAACATACACAATACAACAACAATAACAATAATAACAATC